ACGCGCTCCGCCCCGCTTTCCGCCCTCGGGGCTGCTAGGGCCCTGGGGCAGGGCGCAGGGGGCGGGCCTGTCGCCCAGGGGTGGGCCAGTGCTCCCCAAGTCCCAGCCACAGGCACGTCCAGGAAAGAGACAGCCCCGGGGTCCCTAAGTCTTCACCGGCCAGGTCAGGGAGACAGGAGTGAGGGGGGGCGGTCCCCTGGGTCCTTATGTCCTTCAGACACGCGATCGGCTCCCTGTGTGCGCGCCCGAGCAGCACGGCGTCTGATGAAACGCGCGTGGGGAGCAGGGCTCCGTGTGACGCCTTCCACTCCCGGCGCGTGGCAGGGGCTGTTCTCAACGGATGACATGAAGTTTCCATTTCAAGGCTTCCCTTCTAAGTGAGAGTTGTAGCAGGTGTGGGGAGTTGGGGGGGGGCGGTGTAGAAACGTGGGCTTTGGGGAGACTCAGGCCTAGGTGATTCCTGCTGCCCCTAGGGAGTGGCGAAGCTGCCCCTGGGCCCCTGTGTCCTGAGCTGCACGGAGCATCCCCACAGCAGCGGTGCAGGGGGGGAGGCCTCTGCCCGGAGTGGCTCGGCCAGGGGTGCAGGCTCCTGGGGGATCCGCCCCGAGTGGCTCAGCCAGGGGTGCAGGCTCCTGGGGGATCCGCCCCGAGTGGCTCGGCCAGGGGTGCAGGCTCCTGGGGGGATCCGCCGGGAGTGGCTCGGCCAGGGGTGCAGGCTCCTGGGGGATCCGCCCCGAGTGGCTCGGCCAGGGGTGCAGGCTCCTGGGGGATCCGCCCCGAGTGGCTCAGCCAGGGATGCTGGCTCCTGGGCCATCCTCCCTCTGTTTCCCGCTGGGAGAAGCCCCCTCCCTTCTCCAGCAAGCCAGCAGGGACAGCGGAGGATGGGCTTTGGAATGAGGCCTCCCTGTCTCTGTGCCTGTGTGTCCTCTGTGAAATGACTCATGGAGTTGCTGTCAGCATTCAACCTGTCACCTGGGCAGCATCTGGACAGGTGGTTGTGTGTAACCTCGCTGCGGCGAGGGGGTCAAGTGTTTGCACTCACCGACTTCTGATACCAGTCACGTGGTGTCTCTCCCAGCACCACGTCTGCAACTCAGAAGTAAACTCTGCCTTCTGGGGGTTTTGTTTTTACTTTAAAAAAAAAAAAAATCCTCACCTGGGGATATTTTTTCCATTGCTTTTCAGAGAGAGTGGAAGGAGGAGGGGGAGGGAGGCAGAGATAAATGTGAGAGAGACACATCGATTGGTTGCCTCCTGCAGGGACCAGGGATGGAGCCTGCAACCGAGGTGCATGCCCATGTGCAGAATTGAACCCGGGACCCTTCAGTTCATGGGCCGATGCTCTAAACACTGAGCCAAGCCAGCCAGGGCTGCCTTCTGCTTTTAACTCTCCTTCCTGTGGTCTACTGTTCATTTATCTCCCATTTTTGTGCTTTTAGTTGTTGACTTCAAGGTTCGACATGGGCCCCAAATGTAGGGCTGAAGGGCCGTCTAGGGTTCCCAAGTGCAAGAGACGTGCCTTACACAGGAGATGCGCGTGTTGGGCCAGCTTCATTCACACCCAGCTTATAGTGCTGGCAGCTGTAAGCTCAATGAGAGTGAATCCTCAATATCGACCCAATAAGGTGTCTTTAACAGAAAACACACAAGGTTTATGTGTTGATCGGTTGGCCAAACCGTTGCAGCCAGGAGCTCCCAGGACCCGAACCCTGGGTCTCCCCGGGGGGTGAGGGTTTGGAATTTGCCAAAGAAGCCGGGTCTGTGACTTCACCGAGCTCCCTGAGAGAGGCTGAGGGCTTTCCCACAGGGAAGCAGGTAGGTGCCACGGCCTCCAGGCTCTGTCGCCTTCCTAGCTCTGTAAATGCAGAGAGTCACCAGCTCTGACTTGTGCTGGCTTAGCAGGGACACATGGGGCCCAGGGCCGCCCACTCACTTCCTCCCAGCAGTCACCCCGGCAAAATGAGAGCAGGCATCCTTCACCCAGTTACCAAATCCCGCACCTGTGGGTAGCCTTGGCGTCTCATCTGCTGTCCTCCCCTCACTGCCTCAGGCTGGCTCCTGACCCTTCCACGGCCACACACTTTGCCCAGCCTTTCCTCACCCAGGGACAGCCTCTGGCAGGCTCGCTGAGCAGCCCGGTGTCGGCGTCACCCCACCCCCTGCAGCCCCCACCCTCGGTC